TCCAACTAACCATCAATCTCTCTATCCATCCATCCATCCATCCATCTCTCCACCAATCCATCCATCTGTTTCTCAACCTTGACCACTTGACAATAGGTGGATTTCAACTCCCAGAATTCCCCAGCCAGCATGTTGAGTTCTGTTCTATCACCTCCTCTATATCTCCCCAACCATCCACCCATCCATCTCTCTATCTATCCATCCAACTCCATCCATCCATCCAACTCTCCATTCATCCACACAACCATCTATCCACACAACTCTCCATCCTTCTATCCAACAATCCATTCATACAACTATCCATCCATCCATCCATCCATCCATCCAACTCTCCATCTATCCTTCCATCCATCCATCTATCCATCCGTCCGTCCATCTCTCCATCCATCCATTCATGTTTCTCAACCTTGACCACTTGAAGTTGGGTGGATTTCAACTCCCAGAATTCCCCAGCCAGCATGGAGTTCTAATCTGTTTCCTTTCTCTTCCTTCCTTCCTTCCTTCCTTCCTTCCTTCCTTCCTTCCTTCCTTCCTTCCTTCCTTCCGTCCATCCATCCGTCCATCCATCTGCCTAGATATTTATTAACCTTAGCCATTTGAAGATGGGCAGATTTCAACTCCCAGAATTCCCCAGCATGCATGTGGAGAACCACTCTCTCTTTTTCTCTCCCCTATCCATCCATCCATCCTTCTTTCCATCTAGGTGTTTCTCAGCCTTGGCAGCCTAAAGACGGGTTGATCTCAATTCCCAGAATTCCTCAGCTAACATGTTGAGAGGAACTGATCTATATCTCCCTATTATCTCTCTCTCTCCCTCCATCCATCCATCCAACCATCCCTCTTTTCATCCATCCAACTCTTCATCCACATCCAACCCTTCATCCATTCTTATCTCCAGTTGATTCTCAACTTTGACCCTTTGAGGATGGGTGGAATTTCATCTCCCAGAATTCCCTCGCCATCCATTTATCCTTTGACCAGTTTTTGGGCTCTTCCAACCTGGCTTTTCAGGAGAGAAAAATACAATGGGAGCTCGTTCTTCTATTCAGGGAAGGTCTCCAGAAGACTCGCTCAAGGCTGGCATTCAGAAGGTCCTCCTGTTCGGCTTGTGGTCTTGACGGCAGCTGACTTTTGGTGTCTTCTTTTTCCAGACAGAGCACAGAGCCAGGATGGAGCCCCCTTCAATCTGACCCCAACCCCTACTTCCAGGTGGACCTTCTCCAGCCCTTCTTCATCACAGCGGTGGCCACTCAGGGGGGTGGCAGCTCAGGCGGATTCATCGTACGTTATCGCCTGCTTTATAGCAACGATGGGGTCCATTTTTGGAACTATACCATTCCTGGACACAGCCCAGTCACATCTCTGAAGGCTCAGGTATGGCATCTCCCCACTTCCAATCCAGGGAAGGATCCAAGTCCTCCTGGTTCCTCTATCCGAGAATCTCTGATCCTGTGGTGGATTGTAGCCTGGATTCCCAGGAGGGAGGGGCTGCATTCCAGAGGAACAAGAGGCAGAGAAGTTTAGATACTTTGATCTATGTGTCTCTCTTGGTTTTTCAAGTCTGAGAGATCAGAAGAAAGAGGACGGATCCTTTTCTTCCTCCACTACACTCCTCTTGTGGGTGTTGCCAAATCTGGGGAGCGATTGTGAGCTTCACAAAAAACGGAGATAGCGTTTAATGGTCTCTCCTCTCTGTGGGTTACTCTCTTCTGTTTTTTCCATCCCTTTCTCTCCATCATCACAAATTTCTCTCCGACACTCTTCTCTGCTTTACCGTGAAGACAAGGGGATTCCATAGTCTCAAACCACCCATTTTTGTCCTCTCCATCCCGCAGCTTCTGGAGGGGAATTCTGACAGCAGCACCCCAAGACGGCAGGAGCTCAGCCCGACCCTCCTTACCCGTTTCCTGCGCTTCGTGCCCGTGGAGTACCACCAAAGCATTTCCTTGCGCCTGGAGGTGTTTGGCTGCACCTGGAGTGAGTTGAGGGTGGGGAGAGGAAGCTGTGGGGTGGCTGCCTGGAGGGGATATTGGGCACCTGGAGGTGGACAGCTCAGGGATGTCCTTCAGGATCTATGGGTCTCCAATGTTGCTGAATGGGCTCTGCTGATTTCGCTCCCTGGAAAGCTGTGCGATGACCCAAAGGGGCATTTCAAAAGGCAACCCAGCCAGAAAATAAGTATGAATCCCTTGATTAGTTCCAACTTTGCCTCCCAATGTTCCGGTTATTCTCCGGTCTGGAGACAAACTCTCCCACGAACCTGCAACAGCCTCTGGCTGCAGATATTCCAGTCCAAAGGTTGAAAACAGAAAACTTTAAACTATCAATCCATACATGGTAAGATAAGGTAATAAATCCGGCAGGGCAAAAGCGAAGGAGTTTTGGAAATGAAGCAACATCGCAGTAAGTCAAACAAGTTGGGAGGATGCCAGGAACTCACATAACAGCAGCCAACATTAGATAAACTTAAAGTTCATTCCCGGAAAACGCAGCCTGCAACTGCCTCTCCTTTAAACTCCCTTCCCAGGTGTGAAGGGAATCAGGGCCCTTTCCTCTCCCGTAAGGCACACGATGTCAAGTTTCCAAGTGGTGAAATCCATTTAAAAAGAAAAGAACAATCCATCTTCTAAGACAATTTCTTTTTATTTAGGAAAGCATCAAATTGGCAAAGTCCATGGTAATTCCAGATCTGACACAACCCGGAATTACCACACAGTATTAGAAGTTAGAAACAACCCCCACAAAGTCACATTCTCCAATAGAAGTAATGCAGTGTTGCTTGATGTCATAAATTTCCACCTCAAGGGGGACTAAGCATGGACAGCTCCTTTTCCCACAGGAAGAAGAACCACCTAGCCCAAACAACTCTCTCGATCTCCACTCCTCCCTGCTTAGGAATGTGGCAAGCCCGAAACCCTTCCCCCATAACTGCCAAAGAGAAAGTAAGAAAAAAGAATATATACTAAGCCTAACTAAAATGGCTACCCATAGGTCAATTTTGGGCTTGACAGGCTACCCTCCCTCCTTTGAAAAGAAACCCCTACAACGACATAAAATACACGAAGATTGAAATTAGGTTAGACACAATCATACAATGCACATTTTAACCTCCTCTGCTACCTACAGGATTCGCCTTAGGATTGTGTGGGTATTTTTCATGGAATTTCCCCACCAATCAATCAGCATTAACTTTCCAGCTATTTACCCAAGTCGCTTGTGAAATTGGATAGCCTTTCCAATAAATTAAATATTGTAACTTCGCCCTGAAAATCCTAGAATCCAAAATTTTCTTAACCTCATAACGTTCATGCCCTACAAATGAACAAAGGCTTTGGAGCTACACGTTCTGCTGGCTTCAATGAAGAATCAACAAACAGCCTTAATAAACTACTACGAAACACCGGATGTTCCTTCCCCAATAGCCTAAGGGAGATCAAGTTTCATGGTTACTGGGTTTATTACTTTAATTATCTGAAAAGGCCCTATAAATTTTGGACTTAATTTCTCAGAAGGTTGTTAATTCATTTTATAACTTCCTGGTCGTTTCTGATTTGTCTTTCTTCATGTTGCTCCCTTCTCCGTTCCTCCCTGCGTGCCCTAGGATGAAGGGGGGGGGGTCTTCCTTTGAACTCCCTCTCCCTTGTTCTACATCTCCCCTGCTCTGCCCAGCCAGACTTTGCCCTTCCCCAGTTTCCTCCGCAGCCAACAGGAGCCACATTCTCACTCCCTGTCAGCCGTTCGTCTTCCTCCTCAGATTTAGACTCAGACTGTGTCCAGCTTGTGGGGGGAACGTGACATCCTAATGACCAGGTTTCACCCCAACTGTCCTCCGGGTGGGAGTGGGGGCCAGGACAGCTTAGCTAAGGGTTACTTTTTTTGTGTGTGTGGGGGGTATTCTCTTCATTCTCCTGTTTCAATCTTTCTCACATGACCCAGAGACGGAGCGCGCCATGGGCCGGTTGACTTCTGCCAGCAGCAGCCCAGCCACCGGAATAATCCGCACAAGACCCACCACAGCCCCGTCTCCTCCGGAGAAGACTCTTGGCACCCCCACCCGGTTGACCCCTTACACCAAACCAGCGATGGCAGCAGTTTCCCGGATCAGTGCTGCAGGACTGACCCCTTCTCGGCAGTTCCAGACCACTTCTTGGTCCCCGGCAACTCCTGGATCAAGCAGTGCGTCCAGAGTGTCCACTTGGCACGTTCTTTCACACCAACCTGAAACCCCTGGGTGGAGGCCCGCTTGGTCAGGTGAGGCAGGCAGAGCTGTAATACGGTGGGGCGGGAGGGACATCCCGTTCAAAGGTGGGTTACAAAAGTTTTTCCTACAGGTTCTGAGAGCTTGCTTCGTGCGTGCGTGCATAGCACTCCAACACCACCCTCTGTATCAATGCTGGTGAGCCGTGCAGGCATGCCTAGCGTGTGTGCGCACCAAACAAGTGTTTCATACACACAAGAAAGGGGCTTGGAGACCGCACTCTTTATCGACGATAGCGAACTGTGCTGTTTTTTAAGCTCAGCTGAGGCACGGCAATGCATTCTGCCGTGCGAATAAGCTGAGCTAATAAACAACAGACTATAGGAGAGGTAACGCCAGCCAGAGATGGTATTTACTGGTTCTCTGAACCAGTCAAAATGTTCGCTATTGGTATGCTAGAACCAGTCCGATCCGGCTGAATACTACCTCTGATCCCATTGGGGGATTCTGGCTCAAATCCTGGCTCCAAAAGCAGTCACTGCAAGAGAGACGTTGGAGTCCTAGTGGATGATCCTTTAATGTGAGAATATGATAAAAATAAAACAACAGACTCTGATAATCAGAACCCATAGAAGCCTTTATTAAGGACTTTGTTGTTCCCTTCTCTTTGGCAGTGCCAACTCTCATCCCCTCTGCTGGGATGGCCCGGGTCCTTTGCATGCAAGGACAATTTGCCTGTGAGACCTCTGGCTGTGTGGAGGCGGCTTCTGTCTGCGACGGGCAACAGGATTGTGCCGATGGCTCGGATGAGGCCCACTGCGGTGAGTCTTGCGCCAAGCACCAGTAAAGACTTTTGGGTGGTCTTGCTGCTGCTCAGCTCTCGTCACGTTCAGGATGGCGAGGTGTGGAGAAACGTGGAGAACATCTCCCAGTTCCTCCAGGCTTTGAGAGTTTTGACCGTGTCAGACTGTATGCAGCATGACTACTATTGTGAGACAACGCAAGAGCAAAACACAGGACACAGCGGCTTTGTCTTTTAAGAGTGGTTTATAGACAAGACTACTATATACATACATACACCTATTAGGCAAATACCTGGCAAGCAAGCAATCTTCATTACTCTGCACAGAGTACTACAATGAAGATAGAACATGAGGAGAGAGATGTCTTCTCATGGCCTCCTATATATACTTCTTAAAATGGCAATAACCCTATGGACCCATCCTCAGCCTTAAAGTGGCAATATCCCTGCTGACTCATCCTCATTGCATCAGCATTTACAGCAGCTTTACAGCAGCTGATCAGCTATCAAATATTCATTACCTTAACAGACTGCCATGTTTAGTTATGGTACACCCCTGTGAGGTGGGACATTGCCTTTCATCTCACAGTCGTTGTCTGGCCAAAGATATTTGGGTGGATGGATTCTATGTATGGCCTGCAGGCATTCCTTCTGGGAGGAGGAGGAAGAGGAGGAGGAGATAGAGAAGGAGAAGATAGAAAAGGAGGAGAAGGAAAAGGAGAAGATAGATAAGGAGGAAGAGGAGGAGGATAATGAGAAGGAGACAATCAAGGAAAAGGGGAAGGGGAAGATTGAGAAGGGGAGGAGGAGATAGAGAAGGATGAGAAGGAAAAGGAGAAGATAGATAAGGAGAAAGGAGGAAGAGGGTAATGAGAAGGAGACAATGAGGAAAAGGGGAAGGAGAAGGAGAAGATTGAGAAGAAGGAGGAGGAAAAGGCTAAGAGGAAGGAAATAGGAGGAAAAGGAGGAGAAGGGGAAATAGGAAGATAGATGAGGAGGAGCAGAAGGAAGAGAAGGAGAAGGAAGGGAAGGGGAGAGGAAAATAGATAAGGAGAAGGAGGAGGATAATGAGAAGGAGACAATAGACAAGGAGAAGGGGAAGGAGAAGGAGAAGATAGATAAAGAGGATGAGAAAAAGGAGGCTAATGAGGAGACAATAGACAAGGAGAAGGAGCAGTATAATGAGGAGAATCGATAGATGAGGAGGAGGATAATGAGAAGGAGACAATAGATGAGAAGGAGAAGATAGGTAAGGAGAAGGAGGAAGAGGATGAGAAGGAGAATAGATGTGGAGAAGGAGAAGGTAAAGATAGATGAGGAGGAAGAGAATAAGGAGGATAATGAGAAGAAGCTAACAGACAAGGAGGGAGAAGATAGATAAGCAGAAGGAGAAGGAGGAGGAGAAGGAGAATATAGATAAGGATAATGAGAAGGAGAAGGAGAAGGAGAAGATAGATGAGGAGGAAGAGAATAAGGATAATGAGAAGGATGGGGAGAAGGAGCTAATCGACAAGTAGGAGAAGGAGAAGATAGATAAGCAGAAGAAGGAGAAACGAAGAATATAGATAAGAAGGAGGATAATGAGAAGAAGAATAGATGCGGCGAAGGAGAAAGAAAAGATTCGAGAAGATAGAGGAGGAGGAAGATAATGAGAAGGAGAAAGAGAAAGAAAATAGATGTGGAGAAGGAGACGGTGGTGATGGAGGAGGAAGAGTATAATGAGAGGAACTAAAGATGTGGAAAAGCAGAAAGAAGTAGAAGGAGAAGATAGCTAATGAAGGAGAAGTGGGGTTTAGCTTAGAAACTGTTGTTAAAGCACGGTCAACCGGCCCAACGCCGCTAAGATGACACCAAACTGCTTTCCCCCTCTTGGCTTTTTGCAGGCGGTCCCATGGCCCCTACGGCCCACACTGTGGGCCCCCCGATCCCAACGGGGGGCCCCAGCACCTGCTCCTCCAAGCAGTTCTCCTGCCAGAGCGGGGAGTGCCTGAGCCTGGAACGCCGCTGCGACCTGCGCCAAGATTGTCAGGACGGCTCCGACGAAGCCAACTGTGGTAGGCCGGGGAGGGATGGTGGCGGGATTCGAATCATTTTAATGACCGGTTCTTTGCCCTGAGGACCGGCTGGATGGCCGTGGCCATGGTGGCCATGGACAGGATGTGTATGATAGGCAGCACTCGGCCTCCTGCAAGCCCCTGGGAGCCAAAATGGGCCCCGCTCTGTTTTGGGCCTAGTAGGCCTCCCTGCAGCCAGCCTCCTGGGAGCCAAAATGGGCCCCACTGTGTTTTGGGCCTAGTAGGCCTCACTGGAGCCAAAATGGGCCATACTCTGTTTGGGGCCTAGTAGGCCTCACTGGAGCCAAAACGGGCCATACTCTGTTTTGGGCCTAATAGGCCTCCCTGCAGCCTCCTGGGAGCCAA